GACGACTACTACTACTACTACCACTACTACTACTACTACTACTACTACTACTACTATTACTACTACTACTACTACTACTACTACTACTACGACTGCTCCTACTACTACTACGACGGCGACTACAACTACAACTACGACTACGACTACGACTACTACTACGACTACGACTACGACTACGACTACGGCTACTACTACTACTACTACTACTACTACTACTACTACTACTACCACTACCACTACTACTACTACTACTACTACTACTACCACCACCACCACCACCACCACCACCACCACACCACCACCACCACCACCACCCACTACTACTACTACTACTACTACTACTACTACTACTACTACGACTACAGATGACTTGTTGCTGGTGCTGCCCCTACTGCTGCTGTCGCTGCTGTCAAGTGCTACGATTGTTATCATTATAATTACTATTACTGGCCCGTCATCACTCGAACTGTGTTCAACTGAGGCATGGTACGTTGGGCAAATGAAGCGAAAGCGATGCGAGATCCATTGTGGCACTTCGGATTGCGAAATTGAAATTCGAGCGAAGTCTGAAGATCCCTGATCGTGTCTCGCCCGGAGAAGCAACCCTGCACCCAGAGTCCTCAGAAGCCCATAGGGATCCAGACGTCTTCCCGGAGGACTATAACTTTTTCCGAGGAGTCAGCCCTTTTCCAGGTGAAGAAACCCCCTGGCCTCCTCCACCCCCTCCTCCCTCCTGCGTTTCTTGGGTCATATCTGTGAGAAGTGGCTTGCAGAAGCATCGGTACCACCGGTTCGAAGATCCCGTCGGGCTCGAGCTGAGAGAGAGGGGTCCCGTCCCTCCACGGGAAGGAGGCGGCACGACGGCCTCTGGGATCCCAAGAAGGGCCAGCAACATCTAAAGGCCTCGAGGATCGAAGTTAGAGGCTGGCCCGGAGGGCGCCGAGACCAGGCCTTCGAGGCGTGCGGCCGAGGAGACCAGGAGTCCCCCCTTGACGCCTGCTCGCCATCGCTCGGACGTCCATTCCCTGTGTTTTTTCGGTTTCGTGCGTGGCTTGTTCGCCAAATGATCAAGGATGCTCCTCAATGGCCCTCGCCGAGAAAAAAAACACACACACACACATGCGAGCGATGCCAAGCCTGGAAAAGCAAGAAACGTCGGCCACCCGCCTCCCTCCTCCCTCCATCCTCCCCTCCTCCATCCACAGCTGCCTCCTCTTCCTCCCGCTTCGCCTGATTACCCCTGCCCCCGTCTGGGAGCTGCTGGAAGCACCCCACAAACTCCGAAAACCTGACAAACGTGGTAAAGTTGCCGCTGCCCCCCCCCCGCCGAAACCTCCAGAAGCCTTCACCCTCTCCTCCATCCTCCTCCATCCTCGTCCTCATCCCTCGTCCTCCCTTCCCACATCATCCTGATCTCCTGCTTTTTCCTCCCTCGCAGCCGACGAAGACGGCAATGACGACAACGACGACGACAACGCTGATGACGTTGACAACGTTGACGACGACAGTCTTATCGATAATGGCGACGACCATGAGCCTCGCGACGACGAGAAGGACAAGCCTTCTGGACGGCGACGACGAGGAGCCTGGAAGGGACAACGACAATGCCGTCGACGCCGATAGTCATCGGCGGCGACGCCGACGACGACGACTCCGACCACGACGACGACGCACGTCGTCCGACGGCTTCCGGGGGACTCCCAATGTCTGTGGAGGTCCCCAAAGGCTTCCCGAGGCCTCTGGAGCCCTGGCTGTCACCGAAACGAGCCGAAAACTTACAACACAAAGATCCGGCGTCGCTCCCGCAGCCTGGACGACGACGATCGACAGAGACGACCTACGAACCTACGAGCAGATGATTCAGACATCACGCTGAGGGGTCGGAACGCCCCAATACAAAGCCGATGATGAGAACAAATTGCCCCCCCGCACTCATCGGTGGTGCACGGGGGATGAGGGTCGATGACGTGGTCGTCGTCGTCGTCGTCGTCCCATCATCCCCAGGCGTTGTATCACAAGGCCGCCAAGCCGCCATCGAAAGATATGTCGCCAGCTTTCTTAATCGTCATTTGCGTGATCTCGGTTGGTGGTATGGAGACGAGAACGAGGATGACGACGGTAACAACGGTAAGGACGACAATGACGACGACGAGGGCCGTCGTCGAGTGACAACCGACGACCGACGACCGACGACAACGACGACGACGGCGACGACGACGTCATCCAGCCTTCCGAGGTCTCTGGAAGTCCCTCCCGAGTGCCTCCAGAGGCCTCCGGAGGCACCCGGAGAGCGCCGAAGCTGACCAAGAACCTCGAGCCTCGATCCGCGGAGACGCCACGACGACAGATCGCGAGGACGACGACAACGTCGACGACGGCGCCGGCGACAGCGACGACGACGTTGACGACGACGTTGACGAGAACCACCTCGACGACAACGACGACGACGTCGACGACGAGGGCGGCGGCGGCGGAGGCGACGACGACGACGACGGCAGTCCTCTGGCTCGGCCCAGGGCTCGGCGTCTGGCTCGCCGAGGGCAGGGAGGGGGCCGACTGGATCGAGTGCAGCCCGGATACCTCCGACAGGGACCTGGCGAGGACCTGCCGCGGCGACGCCGAGGATTGGCGTTGGGTCGGGCAGGTCCTCCTGCAGCAGGGGGATTTTGGGCGAACCGCAAACATGATCGACCCACGAACCCGGAAAGGAATGTAGAACTGTAACACATGGCAACGTTTTCAAAGACACCTGATTGGGTGACGGGCAAATGCAATACTGAAGGTATCGATCTTGATGTACCCTGCCGAGGGCTGTGCTGTGCTGAGCCGTGCTGAATTGCGATGTGCCATGGCGCGACTGTGCTCTATAGCCTCGTGGATCGAGTCCTCCTTTGCATCCGAGTCCTGACCGAACTGATCTGGATCTTAAGCTCGAGCTGCCTGAACACATAGTAGCTGCCCCAGAGCTAATGGACAGGGGAACATGCCAGGAGGACGCGCCGCGAAACGTCCCAAGGGATGCGCCAGGCGACGTGCCAGGGGACGTGCCATGGGGTCGCACCGCGGGACGTGCCAAGGGGACGCGCTACGGAACGTGCCAATGGATGTGCCACGGGATGTGCCAGGGGACGCGCGACGCGACGTGCCAGGGGGACTCGCCAAAGGACGCCCCACGGAACGTGCCAAGGAACGTGCCAAGTTGCAATGCTGAGTGCATCGACCTTGATGTACCGTGCCGAAATCAGTGCTGTGCTGCGCCGTGCTGAATTGCGATGTGCCATGGCGCGATTGTGCTCTATAGCCTCGTGGATCGAGTCCTCCTTTGCATCCGAGTCCTGACCGAACTGATCTGGATCTTAAGCTCGAGCTGCCTGAACACATAGTAGCTGCCCCAGAGCTAATGGACAGGGGAACATGCCAGGAGGACGCGACGCAGAACGTCTCAAGGGACGCGCCAAGCGACGTGCCAAGGGACGTGCCATGGGGACGCACCGCGGGACCTGCCAAGGGGACGCGCTACGGAACGTGCTGGGGACAAGCGTTTCGCTCGAGACATCCTGTCAAAATCATCTGAATTCCTACGCGCGGGACGCTGCACGCGCGAGACATCCTCGGAATTCCTGCGAGCGGGACGTGAAAACAAGCATTTCGCCTGAGACATCCTTTGAATTCTGGCCCCCCACGAGGCCACCGCTCGAGACATCCTCCAATTTTGCAAAACCAGCGTTTCGCTCGAGACATCCTCAACAAATTATGAAAAACAAGCGTTTCGCTCGAGACATCCTGTCAAAATCCCAAGAAATCCAAATACCCGCGCGCAGGACGCGGCACGCGCGAGACATCCTTGGAATTCCTGCGCGAGGGGCGCTTTTCCGTGTCGCGGTCGGCTCTGCAAAACCAGCGTGTCGCTCGAGACATCCTCAACAAATTCTGAAACCAAGCGTTTCGCTCGAGACATCCCCAACTCTGCAAAACCAGCGTCTCGCTCGAGACATCCTCAACAAATTCTGAAAAACAAGCGTTTCGCTAGGGACATCCTCAATTTTTAATTCGCCGGCCCTCTTCCCACTCGTTATTTATCGCAAAAGAAATTCGCCGGCCCTCTTCCCGTCAAACCCGGGGGGAAACCATCTAAAAGAGAACCCTGGGCTTATGCCCTTTCCGGGAAAAAAAAGAAGGTACCAAATAGTCAGAAATGCGCAAACCATCGTCCCGAGGACCTGCCGCGGCGACGCCGAGGATTGGCGTCAGGTCGGGCAGGTCCTCCTACGGGGGGATTTGGGGCTACCAAAGGTCAGAAATACGCAAACAATCGTCCCGAGCACCTGCCGCGGCGACGCCGAGGATTGGCGTCAGGTCGGGCAGGTCTTCCTACGGGGGGATTTTGGGCTAACCCAAAAACAAAAAAGAAGGTTCCAAATAGTCAGAAATGCGCAAACCATCGTCCCCATATTAGAGGGAGGGAGGGAGGGAGGGAGGGAGGGAGGGAAGAGGAGGAGGAGGGAGGAGGAGGAGGAGGAGGAGGAGAAGGAGGCGGAGGAGGAGGACAGGCCCGACTTAAGCTTGGCGCCCTCTCCGCCGTGGCGACGGCGGCAGCGGCCCGAGGCCGGCGTCGCCCCGGGGGAGGGGCCTCCGACGACGACGACGGCGGCCTCTCCTCCACAACGGCGGTGGCCGCGCCGGCGGCGGCGGCGGCGGCGACAGCGACGACGACGTGAGCGGCGATGTTGACGACCACGGCGACGGCGACGCTTACGGCGACGGCGGCGACGGCACGACGACGACGACGAAGCCGACGCCGACGAGGACGACGACGACGGCGACGACGACGACGAGGACGAGGACGAGGACGACGACGACGATGACGACGACGACAGCGACAGCGACAGCGACAGCGACAGCGACGACGACGACGACGACGACGACGACGACGACGACGACGACTACGACGGCGGCGGCGATAACGTTGACAACGCCGGCGACGGCGACAACGTTGACGACGTTGACGACGACGACGACGACGACGACGGCGACGGCGACGGCGACGACGACGGCAGCCACGAGGACCACGGCGCTGACGACGTTGCGGCCTGGGCGTCCGCGATGCCGACGCCGTCCCGCGCCAGGAACTCCAGGCGGGCTTCGTGCCTCTGCGCCATCTCCGCGACTGCGTCCATGTCGTCGGCCACCCGCTTGGCCTTTGCGCCGCCGTCGGCTGGCCGATTCCAAGTGCCCCCGTGTCCTGGAGAACGACGAGGAGGAAGAGGACCAGTGTAAACCCAAGGGTCATCAACGTTTTGGAGTAAACCCTCCCTCCAAGCTCCCTCTTCATAGGCCCCTACAACAGTTCATTCCCATTGAGGGAACTCTCTCGTTGGAAGACACCCATTTGAAGACCCTGAAGCATGCCAAAACAGCGTTCTCGGGATTCCTACGCCACGGATCAAGCTGACTGTTGCATCTTGCGGATCCTGAACCGTGCCAGAACGCCATTCCTAGGACTTCAACACAGAGAATCAAGGTAACTGTTGCGCCCGCATAATCTTCAATCCTTCCAGAACACCATTTATGGTACGCTGATCATGGGAATCCCTGAGACTCTTGAAAAATTAGTAAATGAATGTACGCGGCGCTAAGGTGAGAACCACATTTTGAAAACCACCCGCTTTCAATCCGTGGAACTCTTGCAAATGTTTAAAACGAATCTGCACGGCGCTAAGGCGAGAGCCACATGTTGAATACCACCCGTCCTCCATACGTGAAACTGTTGACACGTTTCAAGCTTCAGAATCATGCATGGTGCGGAAGTCTCAGGCACAACGCCCGGCCCGCCCTAAAAACTGGCCTCGGGGTGCGAGAGGGAGGAGTTATCTATAAGGATAACGGGAAGGAGCGGAGGAGGAGGAGGAAGAGGAGGACGAGGAGGAAGAGGAGGAGGAGGAAGAGGAGGAGGGAGGAGGAGGAGGAGGAGGAGGCTTTAGGACCAGCCCTATCCACGGCCGAGGGAAGATGGGGTGGGGACTAAAACTAAAGACCTTTGGCGGTTACTCGGAGCGAAACTCTCTGCGGGCGCGCCCCACAGTTACGGGCTGGCGCCCCCGCGCCTGGCAGCCGCCAGACGGGACGCGACCTCGAGGGGCTCTGTCTGGCAGGAGCGCCGACCCAGCACAAACGAGAAGCAGATCAAGGGTCGAGGAGGCTGGGCTTCGAGCCCAGGCTGCGGCGACCCGTGTGCTGCAGCGCCCGGGTGGCCCATTGCTGAGCAACGGCAGCGCACAGCCTCGCAACCTCGCTCCGCGGCGCCAGCCAGGCACCCGAGACTGCGGCTGCCAACGGACCAGCGACCACGGACGGGCGAGCTCGAACGTCGGGCACACGTGGTGCCCGAGCCGAGCGCCCACGGACGGGAGGAGCAGCGAAGCAGCAGCCCAGCAGCCGCCCGCTGCGAAGCAGCGCTCGGCCGCGAGCACGAGATTGCCCGCTGCGAAGCAGCGCGAGGAAGCGCGGCAGGCGCGTCCTGGCCGGAAGTGACGGCGAGGCACTGGGGCCCCGCGAGGTCGGGAGGCCACGAGGCGGGGAGGCCGAGAGGCCAGCACAGGCCTGCCCTGGAGATCTCCCCGCCCTCCGAACCGCTGCGCGATTCGAGGCGATGATGGTCCCAGGGGAGGGGTCGAAAGACCTGGGACCACGGATGGAGACAGCGCTTCCTCGGAGGTCTTTGGATGAGGGAGGAACAGCAGGAGGAGGAGGAGGATTCTGCGGTGTCTTTGAAATGTATGGGTCTCCCAGGGCCCTCGTCACCACGGCTGGATTCGCCTCCAGATCTTGGTCGGGACGCTCAGGGACTGTTCCAGGGCGTTGACTCTGAGGGGAAACCTGAGACCTCTGGGTTCCGAGCGGGGAAGATGTCTGGCGTTTTTCTTGAAATCGGGATTCAGCGATTTCGAGGCCTGGGAGCTACTCCCTGGCCTCGGGGCCCTCCGAAGCCGACCCGCGGCGGCAAACCTGCCTCGGGTATGGGGCCCATCGTGGGCCCCGCGGGGGGGCCCGGCACGCTCAACACACGCCTCGACCCGAGAGAGGCCAACGGGCAGCCCGCGAGTGCAACGAGCCATCGGATCCCGACTGGCGCCCCAGGCCCAGGCCTCCAGCTCGCCATCGCTCGGACGTCCATTCCTTGTGTTTTTTTCGGTTTCGTGCGTGGCTTTTTCGCCAAATGATCAAGGATGCTCCTCAATGGCCCTCGCCGAGAAAAAAACACACACACACACACACGTCCGAGCGATGCCAAGCCAGAGGGTCTGCCCGGCTGATCCTGGCCCTCCCGGGGCCCTCCCAGGGGTGCCCGGGCCGACGGCGGGCCTTGTCCATCGCGGAGCTCGCCGAGTGCTCGATCGCCCGGGTCGCAGACTTCAGCCCGGCGATCTTCAGCGTGTTCTGCTGGTAGCACTCCTGGAGCCTCCGCAGCTTCTCCTCCACCTCCTTCATGTCCTCTCGAAGGGCCCCCCGCCGCCCGCGGGGCCCCCGGGGGTGGCCAGGGAACCCGCGTTGGCGCCGCTGCGACGCCAATGCGGCGGCTGCGCCTCGAGGCCGCACGCGCCCCACGAATCCCAGACCTTCCGTCGTGGTGTCTCCGGCGGTGAGCCCCGGGGGGTATATAAGGGGGCGCCCCTCTCAGAAGGCCCCAAATGCCTCCGACCTTCTGAGCGGCTCCCCGGGCCTTCTCCGAGGACGTGGGCGAGCCCTCCGAAGGCTGGAGGGCTTCCGAGCAGCCCCGCCGTCTCCTGAGAAGGCCTGCCCCCTTTCGCTTGCTCTCTCGGCGCGCCGCCGAGATCGGTTGTCGGGTCATAACTCGGTCTCCAGCGGCCCTTCGGGACGTTCCGTGCACCCTGGGAACGCTCTCGGCGAGGCGCAGCCGCTGGAACGCATCCCGAGGCTGGATACGATGCGATACGATACGATACGATACGACAACCGCTGTGGACATTGTCCGGGCCTGGCTAAGACCAGCTGGGCAAGGCGCTGGCCTCAGGAGTCTGGCGTGTCGGGGCAGCATGCCATGCGAGACGCATGTATAAAAAGATCTGAGGCTGCACCCCCCGTGGGAACCCAAGAAAACGCTCGAAAACCTGGGCGCGCCGCCGATGTTTGCCACCACGCCTGGGCTGGGAAGGCGAAAACCCATCCCCCCCCCAGTCCGGACCCCATCCCCGAACCCGCGATCCAGGGGGTCGGGACTGGGGCTGGGGGTGGCTCTTCGGGGCCCAGGAAGGAAGAAAAGCCACCCCCACCCCAGTCCCGACCCCTGGGATCGCGGGTTCGGGGATGGGGGTCGGCACGGGGGGTGGGGGTGGGCTTCCACGCGGCGCCCGAGCAGGCAGCGAGACGGCGCCGCCCGCCGACGCCGGTGGGCCCCCTACCTAGGGGGCCACATGCGAACCCTACCCCCTACCCCCCACGAGTTCTGAGGGGGAGGGTGGGGTTCACTTCGTTCGGGCTCCTGCCTCGTCCGTCTGCAGACAAGGGAAACAGACACCTGTGGAATAGGCACCCAGACCAGCAAAGCCGCTCAGTGAACGCACCCAAAGGAGGAATCGGGCAGGACGGCGCCGTCTAGGAGGCGCCCAGAGCCCTCTACTGAACGCAGATGTCTGGGGTCGGGGTGTTGCTTCCTCCCTTGATGCTTGGGACGGCCCAGAATTCGACTACAGTGGGGGGCCCGACCACAAGAAACCTTCCACAAGAAACCCAACCCTGAGACCCCAGGACGCCCATCGACTTTTGGCGTGGGAACGTCGCGCGTTCTCCATCGCAGAACCATGGACACCCAAGAAACCCAGGGCGCCCTGAAGCCAAGCAGGGTGCTTCTTGGCATGGGCCCCTGCTCGGCGGAGGACAAACCTCCCTTTAGTAAACCTCCCTTTGTAATGAAAGCGGCCCAGGACCGAAACCGACGCACCTGGACCCGCAAAATAAGTAACGGCCGCGAAGCCCCCTCGCGAACCGAACACGGCCGCCAATCCGCGAATCGACGTGTCTGGGCAAGAGGTCTGTCCGCCCCCGACCTATACTGCACGCGCGCCAGCGGCCTTGGACGCGGCTGGCCTGTCCCGCGCGGCGGCCCGATCGCTGCGCGCGGTGCGGCACCGGCGGCTTCCGTGCTCGCCCCCCCCCCCCCGGGCCCGCCCGAGAGCTGCGCACCCGCGGCCCCCTCCGGCGAGGGGCCAGTCCTGCCAGACCCCCTCGCGCCATGAAAAAATCACGACGGGAGGTTTTTCGCTATTTTCAGCCTCTGGGGGCCCTTACCGGGCCTCGGGACCGTCAAAAAACGACTCAGGATGAAGAGCCTGTCCCGGGGAATGGGTCCAGAGTTCTGGGGGTCGCGTCATGAAAAAATCATGACGTCGGGGGTCTGGGCGGCTGGCGCCTTGCCACGGCCCAGCGTGCCGCAGGAACGGATGCGGATCTCCCTCGCCTGGCACGGGTGTTGCCAGGCGTGGCGCTGTCATCTTGCTGCCGCCCGGGGGGGCTTCCAGCGCAGCGCCCGAATCGTCGGAGACGTACGGAGCTCGCTCTGCAGAGCGCCCCACCCTCCGCGGGGAGGAGCAGCCGCCCCGCCCTCCGCGAGAAGAGGCCATCGGGAATCGGGCACAGGGCCGACACCTGCCGATGCTTGCGAGAACGGGGGGGGGGGGCGGGGGAGGGGGGGGGGGAGGCTGAGGCTGCGCCGATGTCGTCCCAGGGGGACGGCCCTACGCGGGGCGGTGGCGCCAGGGCGCCGGCATCACTCGAACGTCGCATCATATCATATGCAGGCCAACTTACTCCACGCCCTGTGGTTGTATCGCTGTTGGCCGTCTTGCGCGGGGCGCGTGCGACTCTTCCACATCTGCCCACGTGCCAGCGAGGGGGGGAGGGTGGGGAGGAGGAAGAGGAGCAGCCCCGCAGAGCGCCCCCGCACCCCGACCTCCGTCGGCGCGGCCGTCTTCCCAGGCCGCGGCCCCGGGCCTCTCGACCCGCCTCCGGGGTGGCCTCCGGTCCCCGCTCTGGCCTTCGGTGCCCTGCAGGCCCGAGAACGGAGCCCAGAGGCCGAAATCGAGGACGCGCACATCGCATCGCACAGGAAGAATGACGGCATTCGGGGAGTCCAGGACAGCCGGGGCCAGGGAGAAAGCACATCTAGACCATCTACGAACATCGAAGGGGAATCGAGAAACCTTGTAAAGTCAACTCCGCAGTCAAGAAGCAGAACATCCGAATCAGAGGCAGTCGAGGGGCCCCAGAGGACGAAGTCTGAGCAATGTCGGAGGTTTGGGCGCAGTCCCCTTGTGCAAGATTCGTATCCGCATACATCCTCTGCATCCTGGAGTTTTCGGGCTCCCTTCCCCAGACGCCCGAGGCGCTGTGGACGTGGATACACATGGGGCCCCTGGGGAGGCCTCATTTTCATCCAGGTCCACTGCGCCTCGGCCTTCTGGCGCCCTTCCCCAGAAAGCCCAAGCCGCAGAGTAAATGTACATAAGTTTAAGTCGGGCCTGTCCCCTTACAGGGGGATTTTCGACGAACAAAAATGAAAAATACCCCCAAAATAATCCCAAAATAGTCGGGGGACTGTTTTTGGAGTATTTTTTTACCTTTGGGGGGCATTTTCTGGGTTTTTGTTTAAAACAAATTTTCGTCGACAATCCCCCTTGTAGGGGGACACGCCCGACTTAAACATAAGTCTTGCACGCCGTCCCTCTCCCTGCCGGGCCGTCTCCTTGTCCCTGTCCGCCGCCGGCGCCGGCGCCGCCGCGGCGTTGCCCGCCCTGCCGACGTCCTCTCCCCAGGGGGACGGCCCCCGGAGCAGCGGTCCTGGCCGCGGGCGCCGGGGAGCGAGCGAGAGGCGGGGGACGCCCTGGCCCCCTCGGCAACATGCCGGGAGGGACCCTGTTGTTTTTACGTGCTGTTTTTTTTACGCGTTGTTGTTACGTGCCGATTTTTTGTTCTCACGTTTCAGTGTTGGTTCTACGTGCTGTTTCCACGAGCTGTTTTTTTTTATTGCTCACGGTTCACAGTTCTTTTCTCACGGTGAAGAACTACCGTTCCCGATGCAAGAGGAACCTTTGGTCCACGGCCTGCCGATCGTTGCGTGCGGTCCGGCAGGGGCGGAATGGCTGCTTGGGCTTAGCCCGCCGGGCCCCCCCAAAAGCTGCGCACCAAGGGTCACTCTGTCGACGTCTCACTCCTACGAGTAGCCGGTCCCATACATTTTTGCATCGCTGCGAGACCGTATGCAAGCGACGACGGCGCGAACGACCACCGACAAACGACTACAAACGGGCGGCGAAAGACGAACGACGATCGACGACGATGACGAGGAGCGACGAGCAACAAATGGTAATCAGGACGACGACCGTCGACGAACGGCGAACGACAACGAATGGTGAACGACGCCGCACATGCGGGTGCATCGCAACGCGACCGCCGCGCGGGGGGTGGGGTGGGGGTCTGCATGCAAAATTGAAAGGCTTCCATTGGCGCGGACTCGCGCGTCGCATCGGTGGCGGTCTCGGTTTTCGCGTGAGAGTCGGCGCGCGCCCGCCAAGCAGCCTCCTCGCGCGACTCTGGAACGTTCGCGAGCGCAGGGAAGGAGTCGCGCGTAGCATCGGCGAACATCTCGCGCTGGGGTCGCCGCGCAGCGCTGGGCAAACTCCTCGCGGCGCTCGAGCGCACAGACGAGGCCTCGCGCGCCCCGTCGCCAGCGGCCTCAGCACCCGATTTTTTCGCCTGGGCGCCGGCGCGCGGCACCAATGCCGAGCAGCTTCCTTGCGCGACCGGGCAGCGCTCGCGCGCACAAGGGTCGGTTATACGCAGGAGTGACCCTGAGTAAGAGTGACCTTTGGTGCGCGGCTTTTTGGGGGCAGCGGGGGGACCAAACACGGGCGCGCAAGACGCTACTGCCGCATCGCGTTCGGCGATCGTGGGAACCCACTGGGCCCGCACCAAAGGTCACTCCGGCGAAAGGTCACTCTTACGTCTAGTCGAAGGGGAGAGGCCTCGCGCCCCGCAGCGGCGATGGTCTCGGGACGCAAGGTCGCGCGCGGGGGGGGTCGGCGCGCGGCGCCACGTGCGGCTGCCCCGCGCGAGAGGGCACCTCTCGAGCGCGCGGGGGGGGGGCTCGCGCGTCGCACGGGCGGAAGGAGATGCTGGCGCCGTGGCCTCGATCCAGGACAAGCAGGGCGCCTCGCTGCGCGACTGGACACGCGCACGCGCGGATGCCTCTGCGGATGGGCCGCGAACGCGCCGCATGTGCGGGCGCATCGGTACGCGACCACCGTGCGGGGTGGAAGGTGGGGGATGAGAGATACTGAAACTGCCGTTTGGGGGTCCGTCAGGCCGTCCACTGGGGTTTCCTGGGCGATTTCTGTGGCTTCCTGGGGGCTCCTCTGGCTCCCGTAAAGTTTTCTGGAGCTTCTTCTGGGCACTCCTGCAGCTTCCTGGGGCTTCCAACGGCTCCTTGGGGCCTCCTGGAGTTTCCTGAGGCGTTTGGGAGCTCCTGCGGGTGTCTGGGGCGCTTGGGAAGCGGCGGGGGGCGTCTGGGAACGCTTGGGCGCTCCTGGAGCGTATGGGAGCGCTTGGGAGCGTTTGGGACCTTCTGGGGGCGTCTGAAAACGCTTGGGAGAGCGTCTGTGGAGCGTCTGGGAACGCCCGCGAGCGTGCAGAGGCGTCTGGGAACGTCTGGGAGCGCCTGGGGAGCACCTGGGGCTGCCTGGGAGCGCTCGGGCGCTCCTGGAGCGCCCGCCTGGGGACTCCTGGGAGCGCCTGCGAGCGCCTGGGTCCGCCCGAGAAGAGCGTGGGGCCGCCGAGGAGCGCTTGGGCGCCCCTGGAGCGTCTGGAAGGGCCTGGGGAACTTTGGGGGCGCCTGAGCGCGCCTGGGATTAAGTCGGGCGTGTCCCCCTACAGAGGGGATTTTGGGCGAAAAATAAACATGATCGACCCACGAACCCGGAAAGGAAAACAGAAATGTAAGAAGTGACAAGGTCTCAAAATACTACTGATTGGGCAACGGGCAAGTGCAATGCTGAATGTATCGATCTTGATGTACCGTGCCGAAGGCTGTGCTGTGCTGCGCCGTGCTGAATTGCAATGTGCCATGCCGCGATTGTGCTCTACAGCGTTGTGGACCGAGTCCCCCTTTGCATCCGAATCCTGACCGAACTGATCTGGATCTTAAGCTCGAGCTGCCTGAGCACATAGTAGCTGCCCCAGAGCTAATTGACAGGGGGACATGCCAGGAGGACGCGACGCGGAACGTCTCAAGGGACGCGCCAAGCGACGTGCCAAGGGACGTGTCATGGGGGCGCACCGCGGGACGTGCCAAGGGGACGTGCTACGAAACGTGTTGAGGTGCGTTTCGCTCGAAACATCCTGTCAAAGTCCTTAGAATTCCTGCGCGCGGGACGCGGCACGCGCGAGACATCCTCGGAATTCCTGCGAGCGGGACATGAAAACATACATTTCGCCTGAGACACCCTCTGAATTCTGGCCCCCCCACGAGGCCCCCGCTCGAGACATCCTCCAATTTTGCAAAACCAGCGCTTCGCTCGAAACATCCTCAACAATCATAGAAAAAAACAAACATTTCGCTCGAGACATCCTGCCAAAAATTCAAGGACATCCTCCAACAACAAACGAATTAGTCGAGACATCCTCGACATTCCCTCCTCCTCTACTTCCTCCTCCTGCTCCTCCCTACCCTCGTTTTCATATTCGTCGTCTTCAGGGTCGGCGGTACAAGCCGCAAGGCCTTCGCAATAGTAAAACTGTGCCGCGCAAAAGGACAGGAGAGCGCGGTCCGTCTTCCGCACCGCTCGGAGGCGGCGAGCCAGCTCTCGTCTGCCGCCGTAGTGCATCGGGCACTCCGCTGGACGTTGCGACCACTGGCCGCTCGCTGCCTGACGATTGTCAGGACCGACGCTCGCTCCGGAGAGATATTAAGATCAGGATCAGGATCAAGCTCATGGAGTTCAAATCGCCACCACCGCCAGACGGGACGCCTGCTGCCGATCATTCGCGAACTCTGAGGGGTCTGAATTCGACCAGACTCACTGTAACAAGCCAGCGCACTCGGCTCGGGGCCGCGCTGCCCCCATCAAGGACACCCTAGGGGAATATCAGGGGCCCTCCGAGGGACCAGGGCCACGGGCTCTTCCCCGACCCCGAACTCTCTCACTTCTCTGCAAGATGACGGTGGGCGCCTCTCGCTCCCTTCCGTCGCTGCCCTCTCTCAGAGCTCTGAAATATTAACAAACAATTCGCAGGTAGACGCCCCGAGTTCACTAAATCCTGAAGTCTAGAGCTCGACGCCATCAAAGGGGGGAGTCCCCGCTACCCCGTCCGTTCGGCGCCGAGACACGATTCGCACTTCCTCACCCCCCCCCCCCCCCCCCCCCCCCCCCGCAGCGGCAGCAGCAGCGGCCCTCCCCCCCCCCCCGCCTCCATCTCCTACAAAGGCTCGCCTCTGAGGTGTCCTACTCCTCCTCACGACATTGCGGCAAGGAGGCGAGCGGCATCCCGCTCGAGCGGGCCCGTCGGGGCGGATCCTGCCTTCCTCACCGCCGCCCTCCTCCGCGTGAGGATATGGACGTATACTCTCTCGAAGGTGCACATCTCGGTCGTCGCGCGGTCGAAGCAGGCCACGAAGCGGCCCCTGCCCACGGGGCCCGCGGGGCCCTGGTTCCTCTTCCATTCGAAATGCGGGATCAACTCGGCCAACTTCTGGGGGTCCGACGGCTGGGCGATTTTGTGGTCGAACTCTTCGGCCGCCCCCTTCTCCTCTCACTCCTGGCCCACGACCCACATCACGAATGCCGCGAAGATATGTACATGTGGGGGCCCTCGACTTTCGTAGTGTGGATGATCTCCGTCGTCTTCCTGTTTTTGAATGCCCTGGACTCTTTGTTGTATGCTGTGCCTGCGTCCTCCAGCACATTGTCGAGTCCGTTTTCTCCCCCTGGCACGTCTATCTCGTGTGTCAAGTACACGGTGTTGGTGAGTTCTCCGAGCTCCCTCGAGCTCGTCAATGCAAGGCGTGTAAGAATCACCTGCAGCTCCCTGAGGGCGGCGTCTCCTCCCTTCTTTGCAGCTGCTGCGACCTCGGACTTGAACGTCTTTGACTTGTTCTCTCCGTCGCCCGACGCGGGTGCTCTCTTCTGCCAGGCCAGCGCCTCGAGGGGCATCGCGAGATCGAACGCCAGAAGGAGGTTGGACAGGACGTGGCAAATGCTCGAGCAAATGGATACGGAGGGCCTCAGGATTCTCGGCGATCGCATTGCACAGACCGCACTCCAAGGAAACGGGCTCCGCGACCCCCCGAAACGCAGTGCCCCCCTTTCGTCGGGCACGCCCCCAATATCATACCAGACGCAAGGTGTCGGGCAGCCGTGATCTTACTCAGGAACGTCCCTCGACATACAATGCATTGGTTCGTACACGTCAGGACATGTGCCAGCGAGCGAACATGGTGGCGCGCGCGACGGTGATTCAACAACTGCGCCCTCGTCTTAAAGCACGCGTCACACGCCTCCCCGTCCTCCTCCTTCCAGCTGCACGCCCATGGTTCGACCTGCACCTCCAAGCCCAAGGAGCCAATGTGGAACATTTGAAAGCTCTGGAAATCAACAAAAAACTGAAACGTATCATCATGACCTCTTACTCCTCTGACTTGTGGCCATCTCCGACAAGACTGCACTGGGCCGGTCCTGCTGTACTGGGCCCTGCCTGTCGCATCTCCTTGCGCACCTCGTCCCTGACGTGGCGCATCTCCTCGGCTCGGAGGCGGCGGGAGCGCCCCATTGGAAAACGATGGGTTTGGGAAGCAGGCGACCAACTCATCCTCCTCCTCCTCCTCACCCTCCACCTACTCCTCCTCCTCCTCCTCTTCGTGCCCGCCTCCTGCTCCTCCGCCTCCTCCTCCTCCTCCTGGATCACGCCCAACTCCTCCTCCTCCTTTTTCTCCTTCTTCTCTCCCCCTAAATCAGACGGGCTGGCTGCGTCGCGAAAACAACGGCCGGCGTTTCCTCGACCCACCCCCGAAACGAAGCACCCGAGACCCGAAGAGGGTCGGCAACGCGGCGCTAGCCAGTCCAGGAGAGGGAGCGGGTACGATTTGGTATAAGACGCCTGTGCTGACACAGAGAACACGTTGTAGCAACACGCTCTTTAGCGAAAGCTTCCGGGGCACTCGATCTACGTGCGCACGACAACGCCTTCCGAGTGCACCCAGACGGGATACCTCACCGACGTCAAAAAACACGCGAATGCATCCGGAAAAACACACGTCGATGAGCGAAACCGACTAAGGACTTCACAGGTAAATCGAACACACTCGAATGCAGATTACCTCAGCCGACTTGTTTGGTTGGGCATTCTCCCAATACCCGACATAAAAAATCTGTAATAAACCTCCGGGCAATAACGGGAAAACGAATATTTGCTCCGCCGGCTTATTGACGGATTGGGACCCCATTCTCGTCGACGGATGCATGAGAGGTCATGAGAAGTGCTAAAAATCCTTCGAGTCTACGAAACGGAGCCCAGAACGGGGGAGGAGGAGGAGGAGGAGGAGGAGGAGGAGGAGGAGGAGGAGGAGGAGGAGGAGGAGGAGGAGGAGGAGGAGGAGGAGGAGGAGGAGGAGGAGGAGGAGGAGGAGGAGGAGGAGGAGGAGGAGGAGGAGGAGGAGGAGGACGGAGGAGAAGGAGGCGGAGGAGGACGGAGGGGAAGGAGGAGGGAGGGGAAGGAGGAGGAGGAAGGACGAGTTTCTATTCCCCGCCGAGAGCTTAGGAGGGGGGGCATCATTAAAGACCCTCTGCGATTATCATCCTCCCAGCCGGGTTGAATCCTCGGCCACGACGCTCTGGATCACGTCCACCTGGTTCGCCAAATTCCAGGCCTTGAACTGCCGGCGATGGTTCTCGTCGTCCTCCCTCGCGGCCTTCTCGAGGATCTGGATGCTGTGGCCGAGCTTGGCCTTCGAGACCCGGTGCTCCTCCTCCAGCGTCTTCAGCCGCTCCTCCAGACGCTTCACGACCTGGGCGGCCTCGTGGTCCACCTCGGCGAAGTCCTCTGAAGGGGCCCTGGGACACACAAATAAATACACACACAAGTAATATAATCCCCCCTATTCCCCCATAGTTTCTGGGTCTTCCTCTTCGCCCCCACTTCCCATGTGTTCCTATATGTTCTGGGGGATCGACGATGAATTGTGTCTGTGTGTTTTTGTCCCCTCCTGATCCTCGCTGCCCTGGAGGGCACCGCCGAGGGGGCCCAGGCTCTCGTCGTCCTCCTCGCTCTCGGCGGACCTCTTCTCCGAGGCCGCCGAGGCCGCCGCCTGCGGCTCCCCCTCCCGAGCGGCGTCCGAGGAGGCCCTGTGGACCAGCCTGTGGAGCTCGGCGGCGCCCTCTCCGATACGCAGAACAGCAGAAACAGAAGCTCTCGGAAGTCCGCGCGGATCTCTGGGGCTGTGGCCGGGAAGCCCTCTTGGAGCCATCTTCGACTGAAACATTGGAATCCATTTGAACGCATCAAAAGACATGTAGTCTAATCCTACCATGTGTTTCACTGCCTATGGTCAGCTGGGGGGGTCCTCTTAATTATGGCTCTCCTGTGGCCGTTTTGCAGCCGTTATGGGGTCATTTTGGAGCCACCTTGGCCACCTTTGCAATGACCTTGGCGGTCTGGGATGCCCAGAGGGTCGCCAACCTCACAGTTCAAGCCCTGGCCTTTACACATGTGCTTGGGGCTTCAATGTTCCGGCCTCGCCCCCGACAAGTTTTCGCTTTGCACCCCTTGAACTTATCCGTGCGTCAGGGGGGGGGGAGTCCAACGCCCATGGGCGTTGGACCCCCCCCCCCGGCGCAAGGGGCAGCGCCAGAGTCGCCGGGTGGGGGGGCCAAAGGCGTGACCAGGAGATCCGCGCGGAGCCCCGAAAGTTCATGTGGATGTGCAGTCGAACCTGGGACGGAAGAACATCCCTCAAGAACCTGAGACCCCCTCTGGCCATAACGCACAGAACATCCAAGGGCACCCTCCCCAGGGTGTACAAGAACATCCAGTAAACACGAAGAACGGTGGTGGACAAACCCCCCTTTAGTGAAAACGGCCTGGGACCGAAACCGACGGACCTGGACCCGCAAAAACGACGGCCGCGACGCCCTCTCGCAAACCGAAAACGGCCCATTCCTGAATCGGCGTGTCAGGGTAGGAGGTCGATCCACCTCCTAAACTCGGGCTGGGCAAAAGGGGGGGATAGCAAATGGGGGGTTTGAGAATCAGCTCACGTAGCTGATTTTCCCAGCGCCTCCTGGCGCCAGGAGGCGCCCATGTATCGAGGAACGGGCCCGGCGGCGGGGCCGAAACAAGCTGCATGCAGCAGATTTCGTAACCCCCCCCTTTCCCAATCCCCTCCTCTCGTCCGGGCCGAGAAACAATAGGGTACCCTCCCCGAGCCGACCTCGATCTGAGAACCTCCCCGGGCCGACTGCAGAATTGTTCTCCTCGACGCCTCGTCGGCGTCCCCGCCCGGCCGCAGGCGCAGCAGCTCCTGCTCCAGCAGCCGGACGCCCTCCCTGAGCTCGTCGACGTCGGCCTTCATGGAGACGTGCTCCAGCCGGATGTCCTTCCGGGTCGGGCGAAAGTGAATGGGGCCCTGGGACGCACCAATAAATACACACAAGTAGCAGGATTCCCCATATTTGTCCCATATGTTTTGGATTTTCGTCTTCCCCCCCACTTCCCATATTTTCCACTATTTTCTGGGGAATCGACGATAAATTGTGTCTGTGTGTTTCTTCCCCTCCTCAGAAAGGGGGGGGGGCAGCGATGCAACGGGGGTTAGCGAATCCTCCCACGCAGCTGGTCTCCTGGCGCCTCCCGACGCATCGAGGAGGGCGCCCGGCGGCGGGCTGCATGCAGCAGATCTCGGACCCTCCCTCCTCCCTCCCCCCTCCCCTCGCATTCTTCCTCGTCCTCCTCCTCCCCACATCCCTCCTCGATAGAGAACCGATCACCGGCGCCTCTCTCCTACAGTGCGGGCGCGGCCGCAAGAAACCCTCGCAAGAAACCCAACCCTGAGAACCCGTGCGCGAGGTGCACCTGAGGGGAAACCTGGAGCACCTTGAACGCAACAGCTCCTTCAACGGCTGCGGGAAGTCACCGGGCAGCGCGAGGAGCGAAGAAACCCGGGATGCCCTGACGAAGAGCATATTGTACTTTGATGCGCGTCCCCCCCCCGTCCGCCCCGATCCTTCAGCTCGTCCACGTGGATGCGGTCCATCTGCCTCTGGCCATCGCTCGGACGCCCATTCCCTGTGCTTTTCTCGGCTCCGTGCGTGGCTTTCTCGCCAAACGATCCAGGATGCTCCTCGAGGGCCCTCGCCGAAGGTCGGGAGCGGCCAAGAGGGGGGTGTCCAAGAGGGGGGGGGTGCAAATCATGACCAGCGGCATGTGCGCGGCCCAGCGGGGGGGCCAGGGACGTAATGAAATTCGCCGGCCCAACGGGCCAGAGGCGTGCTAAGATCTCCGGTAACTGCTCAAAAATATTTCTAGTTCGCGCGCGCGGGGCGGGCCCTGGGGGTCCCCGGACGAAAAGTACCCCGGCAAGGTCCCGGCAAGGTCCGGGCAAGGTCCCTTTTCGGAGCCCAGGAGGGCTCCAAATGGTCCAAGAGAGGCCCGAGAAGCCCTCGAGACGGTCCAAGAGAGCCGGGAGACGCCGAAATATCACTCCCAAACGCCTGCGATGGCCTCAAGACGGCCCAACAGGCCTTCAAGACGCCCCAAGAGGTTCCTAAGCGGCGTCCCAAGAGGGCTCCCACAAGCAAAAACCGTCTCATTCCCTTCGGAAAACGTGCATGTTTTACATATCCGCCTCTTCGTCTTTTACACCTTTCAAGGCGGTCCAAGAGGCCCCCAAGATCACCCCAAGACGGCCCGAGAGACCCTCAAGACCGCTCAAAGACGGCCAAAGAGCGCTCCAAGAGGGCCCAAGAAACCCTCAAGAACTCTTTTTCGGAGCCCAGGAGGGCTCCAAATCGGTCCAAGAGGGGCCCGAGAAGATCACTCCGAAGCGCCTACGATGGCCTCAAAACGGCCCAACAGGCCTTCAAGACGCCCCAAGAGGTCCCTAAGCGGCGTCCCAAGAGGGCTCCCACAAGCAAAAACCGTCTCATTCCCTTCGGAAAACGTGCATTTTTTACATATCCGCCTCTTCGTCTTTCACACCTTTCAAGGCGGTCCAAGAGGCCCCCAGGAACACCCCAAGACGGCCCGAGAGACCCTCAAGACCGCTCAAAGACGGCCTAAGAGCGCTCCAAGAAGGCCCAAGAAACCCTCAAGACGGTCCAAGAGGCCCCAAGACGGCCCCATGATTGAGGTCCACAGGGGCAACCTGAACGGAAATTTTGAGCCTCCCGCCCAAACACGCCCCCGAAATGCCCCTACAAGCCCCCAAGAGAGCCCCAAGAGGCCCCCAACAGGCCGCAAGAAAGCCCCAAGAGGCCCCCAAGAGACCCCCAGGAAGCTCCCAGGAGGCCCCCAAGAGGCAAGGCAGACCCCCCCAAGAGACCACCAAGAGGGCCCACCCAGAGCCATCCACGAGGCCTCCCAAAGTTCCCAAGAAGCTCCCACGAAGCTTCCAAGGGCTCCCAAGACCCCCCAAGAACCCGCGATGGCACAATACGGGCCGGCGGAATGAGCGAAGCGATTCAAAAAGAAGAGGCGCCACGAGATCTGGGGAAATATCATGGCCCCCGCCATGATATCCACCCCCCCCTGGTCATCACCCCCCTCTTTTCCGCCCCCGAGAAGGAGCAGTGCGCACGCCCGAGCGATGCCAAGGCCTCTGCAGGCCCTCCGCCATGCCCCGCACCAGGGCCAGCTGCTCCGAGGACTCCAGGCCCGCCAGCGGGCTCGCCGGGCGAGGGCCTCCGACATCGGAGGGCGATAGCCGAGACGACGGCGGCTCGAAATCGCTATGCCCTTCGGTCGGGCACGTCCTCCGACAAGGGGGGGGGTTTTCGGGTCGGGCGAAAGGGGGGGATAGCAAAGGTCGGGAGACTCTCCATGGGGGGGGATCCCATGGGGGGGCAGGAGGGGATCCCCCCCATGGGATCCCCTCCTGCCCCCCACATCGGATCCCCAGGGGATCCTATGGGATCCCCCCCCCTGGGGTCCTATCCCCCCATGGGATCCCCCCCATGAAGAGTCTCCCGAAAAAGGGGGGTTTGAGAATCAGCTCACGCAGCTGAGTTTCCCGGCGCCTCCCGGCGCCGGAGGCGCCCATGTATCGAGGAATGGGGCCCTCGGTGGGGCCGAAACCAGCTGCATGTAGCAGATTTCGTACCCCCCCCCTTTCCCAATCCCCCCCGTTCGTCCGGCCCGAGTTTGGGAGGAAAAATGACAAGCAGTCCAGCAATATACAGTCGGCCTCGACTGGACCGGACACGCGAGAGGGCACAAGACCCTTCCGAGGGCCACATCGCCATGGGAGTGTGAGAAGGCACGCGTCGCGAGGCACAGGACACAAGGGTACCCTTGAGCTGGCAGGGTCGACCTACTCATCCGGGCCGACTGCACAGGAAGAAGCAAGAAATCATCGGAAACTCGTCCCTAGACTATTCTTTTGCCTGTCCTGACATCTCCCTCCTGCACAGAGACGTGCCCGACTTGACAGCACCAGGACCCCCCCCGTGGGTCCGACCTCCCGAGCCGCGTCCAGCCGTGGCGCCGAGGAGCGCCTCCCGAGGGCCCGCATGCACCGCCGCGTGTCTCCGCCGGCCCCGCTCGGGCCTTCCCTCGCCGCGCTGCCCGGCCGCGAGCCCTCCGCCCCCCGCCGCTCCGCGCGGCCCTCCCCCGGCCCGTCCGCGTCGGCGGGCTGGGCTCCCGCCCCGGCCATGGCCGGCAGCTCCTCCTCGGACGCCCGAAGGGGGTACTCCGAGTTTTCTCGGTGAGCGTCGGGGGGGCGTCACCCCCGCCGACAGCCCCACATAGACCCCCGTCGCGGGCAGCCACCGCGCGCCGAAGGCGCCCCGACCCCCGCCGCGGCGCGACGACGAGGCGAGGTGGACCCCCGTCGGGGGGGTAACCCCCCCCCCGCGCCTACGAAGAAACCCAGGGCACGAAGAACGTGGCCACGATGTCCAGCAACAAGCGGTGTCCAAAACCGACAGCGGCCGCTGTTGGGCAGGCGGCCCTCCTGTCTCGAATGGACAGCGACACCGGCGACGCCGACGGCGAACCCTATTCAGAATGAGCAAGAACTGTTGTTGGACTGTGTGCCAATTGTTTCCGTACCCATTTCTCGGGGATCTTCTGACCCGGGTCAATCCAGACCCGGGTCAGTCAGGCCTTGCAGAATCCTGCAAGATCCTGCGCGCAGACACGGGGCAATGCGAAGGATCCTGCAAAATCCTGCAGGATCCTGCGCCCAAACCCGGGTCCGTGCGACCCTGGCCCTGCAGGATC